CTGTCTTTTTCTGGAAGCTCAGCTGAAACTTGTCCACTGTGGATGATCTTGCTGATATTTAAAATATCTGCAGCATGATTTCCAGGATTACAGCAGCATGCAGGCCTCCACAGGATGACAAACAGTCAAGTGATGATTTTCATTCAATATACATATATGTATATACATAATTATAGATATTTTAGTACTTCTTACAATTTTTGGAAAACATTTAAAAACCTTAAAATGATAATGAAATCAAAGAAATGGGAATGATTCTACCTGAAGTTGCTAACATACTTCCCAGGAAAACAAAAATGGAGGCAAATAATCAAGTAATGGACCTGATTTCAGAATGTGTATTTCCTAAGTATCAATTAAAAAATAACTCAAATGCATTTTTTTGTCTTCAAAAAGTATATAAGGGGAGAAGAGAGCAGAGGACGAACTCGGGATATGACAAGATGGCCAGGCTGCCCCGCAGGATTATTAAGGAAACCCAGCATTTGCTGGCAGAACCAGTTCTGTCATTAAAGCAGAACCAGATGAAAGCAACGCCCAATATTTTCATGTGGTCATTGCTGGGCCCCAGGATTCCCCCTTTGACGGAGGGACTTTTAAACTTGAACTATTCCTTCCAGAAGAACACCCAATGGCAGCTCCTAAAGTATGTTTCATGACCAAAATTTATAACCCTAATGTAGACAAGTTGGGAAGAATATGTTTAGATATTTTAAAAGATAAGTGGTCCCCAGCACTGCAGATCCACACAGTTCTGCTATCCATACAGGCTTTGTTAAGTGCTTCCAATCCAGATGATCCATTAGCAAATGATGTAGCGGGAGCAGTGGAAGACCAATGAAGCCCAAGCCATAGAAACAGCTAGAGCATGGACTAGGCTACATGCCATGAATAATATTTAAATCAATTTGATCATCAAGTGTGCATCCCTTCTCCTGTTCTGCCAAGACTTCTTCTTTTTTTGTTTGCATTTAAATGGACACAGTCTTAGAAACATTACAGAATAAAAGCCCAGACATGTTCAGTCCTTTGGTGATTAAATGCAC